GCTGTTTGGGTATCACAACAGTTGCTGTCTCTTGAACATCTTTCCTTAAAACATCGCAGTCTTCTTTGAGAATACTTTTAAGTCGTTGAGCTCCTTTGGGGCATACTTTTTTTCTTTTCAGCACTCATTTTTTCCCCACTTACTCTGTAAACTTTTAGCCATGTTTTAATTGAGAAACGTGAGAGCAGGCTCACCGCCAAGACCCCACGCTGACTGTTTTACTCGTTCTTTAAATGAACTCCTTGAACTCACATTTCATTCGAAACTAAAATTAAAATTTATTTTTAACTGACATATCAAATTGTACTATGGTTTGATGCACTGGGCAATGTTTAAATCAGGTTGAACATATCTATCTCCTGAAACATTTATCATTTCTTTATAATGAAAATGTTCAAATTCCTTTCTTTCTAGCTTTCTGAGACTGTAATCTGTAGCACACCCACTGTGCTTTGCACACCCAAACTTCTAACTCTGATTTAGCTCTAACCTAGCACTTGTTGTTGATCAACCTCTCCCTACTTTTCCTTCCCACTGCTATCCCCCGGGCTCTGGGAACCACATTCTCCTCTCAGTTTCTGTAAGAGATCAACTCTTTTAGGTTTCATGTATGAGTATGATCTTGCTGTGCTTGTCTTTCTGTGCCTGGTTTATTTCACCTAATTTGCACAAACTGTTGAGGGTCAGGCAGCTGGGTAACTGTATCTCTGCTTAGACAAACCTAAGGAAGAATGTTATTTATAACACTGAGCCAAAAGCGGTCCTGGAACATGGGGGAGGGGTTCTTTCCTTCCTGCCTGCTCCTGTTCTTAAGGAGAAAATGTTCTGTCCTGGAGACCACTGAATTCAGATTAGGAAGATTTGAGGCTGCATGCAACTCCACCACCTACTTGTGAGTCACTTACTTCCCCACACCTCAGTTTCTTGGGCAATAAAATGGAATAATACTGTTCCATGTGACTGTTGTCATCAGGAAATTATACGTGTGAGTCCACCTTGTGATCTACAGCTAGGCAAGTGCTAGAGGCCAGTTGACTGTTGTAGGAGGTGGAAGGGTTGTTGTTCATGCTCTTGGGTAAGGTTGCCCAGTAGTAACTCTTCTCTTCCTTTACCATGGCTCTGGAAATCTCCAGAGAGGACTGTCTGGTTGAATTCTCAACTTAAGGGGGCTGGCTCAGTGGAATAAGTGCTACCCTGGCAAGTGCAAGGGCCTGAGTTCAATTCCCGGGTCCACCAAAAAAGAAAAAAATTCTCAACTCTCAACTCTACCAAGTAAAGTAAGCTGCAAAATTTGGCACTGAAAAATTTTACTCTGAGTTATTTTTCTCATTGTCTGCATTACTGAGTTACTTTTTCTCATCATTGCTTTTACTTTTCTCATTGAGTTACTCATGGCAAAATACCCAACACACACAAGTTAAAGAAGAAAAGATTTATTTTTGGCTCATAGTTTGTTTTGGTCCCTGGTCAGCTGGCTCCATGGCAAGATGGCATGGCAGAGGAGAAATAGTCCATGGAAGGGCAGGCACAAAAGAGCAGCAGCAGGAGCAGCAGGAGCAGCAGGAGCAGCAGGAGCAACAGGAGCAGCAGGGGCAGCAGCAGCAGCAGCAGCAGCAGCAGCAGCAGCAGCAGCAGCAGCAGCAGCAGCACCTTCCTTTCCTTTTTATCCCATCCAGGCTACAACACTTTTGGGTGGCAGTACCACACCCAAAGTTGACTTTTCCATTATCCACATCCAGAACTATGCTCAACTACTTTAGTTATCACACACCTTTAATCCCAGCATTACCTTAATCCAGTAGCACACATCTATGAGCCAGCTACCTTCCTAAAGCCCCACCTAAGAACACAAAGGTTTTGGGGGATATCAAGCTACCTTTCGTAGCATATTCCTTCTAAAAGGAACAAATGTCTCTAGCTTTTGCTGCTCCAACAAGGTACCTGGCCTAATATCTGAAACAGAATCAAAGTAAAAAGAAGACAGAGAAATTGAGGAGCACATCAGAGAATCAGGGGACCGAGCTTCCAGTGTGGTATTACAGAACCACCTGCCTTTTCAGTCTTCTCACACACTCTCCTGGGGATGCTTTCATTGGAGTCATTCACTTAGCTATTTAGAAGCACCCACTCGCTTCTATGGTGTGTGCCTGCTGGCAAGATGATGTTTTTAACTTGTAATTCTGAGGCTCCAAGGTAGATCTCACCTGTGCAGGAAGACAAATACTCAGATCCCTGCAGGGATTCTCTTGAGAAGCAAAGGGCTCGGTTTCTAAACCATTTTCTGGCCTTTATTTCTCTTCACAGCCCTTCATGTCTCATAGACTTGGTTTTGTCTGTGGACAAGAAAATGAACCTGAGTCAGCAGATGTTCTACTCCAAAAAAACATCTTCAGGAGTTGTACAGACAGTCTGAGTTCTTTTTCTTTCTGCAGCAAGTGGCAGAATCTCTTTCCTGGAGTGAGGCTAAGAGCTTGGCAGGGGAGTTCTTGGTATTTAGCTTCAGAGTGTTAATGCTCCTTTCCTCTCAGGATGTGGACATTTCTTTTTTTTTTCTCAATATATTTATTTTGGACTTTTCATTTCTGTACCAAAGCAGCTATTTCCATACACTTTGCTAAAATGTCAATCTTCCATAAGACAAAAGGCCATATCTGAAGCATAGAATTTAACAGAAAATATTATTGCACTGGATTTAGTTTTCAGTAGCAGCTAAGTGCCTATTTTGTACTCTCCCCAAATCAAGTGCCCTGTAAGTATTGATGTGAACTAAAGAAAACATAAAATTACCAAACAAACATAATGGGAAGATGAAGTAAGTGGAGTGGGCAGTGAAAATTAAATGAGAAAAAACAAAGTTAAAGCGTAGGAAAAGGTTTAATGGAATAGAATTATCTAGTGAAAGAACAAAGTAGAGTACGTTAAAAGTAAAAAAGAAATATAGCAGCTTAGACAAAAGGAATGTGGGGGTGGAGAAAGCTGGTGAAGGTGTTAGGATAGTCACCTCTCAGCCTCAGCTCCCTCTGGGGTCACATGGGGAGTTTTAAGGACTATAGAAGCCTGGGTGCCCCTACTACCTTGATTTAGCAGGCTGGGTTGGGTTGTTGGTTCCAGGATTTAAAAAAAAATCTTTTCAGTTTATAGTGTATCCAGCATTGAAAACCATTTTTTTTTTTTTTTTTTTTTTTTTTTTTTTTTTATAAAAAAAGAATTGTACTGCAGAAAATGTCTGTTACAGTACTGTCCTTAGGGCACAAAGCGGAGATGCCACTTGTGACCATGAGGGTTGCAGTGGGAACGAGAGCTGCTGTTTTCTCCCTTTGTCTTTTTTCCATGATAGGATGAGCCCCCAATAGTACTCCTGCCTCCGGACCACTCACTGCTGGCCTCTGATAAGCCAGAGAATATGAGGTCTGCTTAGGTCAGCATCAGCCGTCTTCTTAGTCCCCTGAGCTCCTACAAAAGTGCTGGGCACATAAGGGGTGCTTAATCTTTCCTAGGCAGTATCATCCTGGTCTTTGTGGTCCTTCTCTGCTGAACCAAGTGGGCTGAATTGATGTTTTTAGTTCTTCCTCCTAATCCTGCCCTGACTTTCCAAATCAAATTCTGTCCCTCCCAGCTCATGGAGAAGCTGATGGTGGAACTCAACCAGGGAGACGTCTAGCTGAGTCATGGCAATGGACAAGGCACAGTGTGTGTGTGTGTGTGTGTGTGTGTGAGATGGAGAACACAACTGGCAGTACACCACCCTCAGAGCGACGGGGGTTCTTCCCATATTTCAACTTTGTTTTGATCTCCTAATTTCCAGAATTACAAAAGACCATAGTCATCCAGGAGACATCCCACGAGTGACTATGGGTTACGGTCTCCTCCGTGGCTTGCTGTTTTTGTTGGGAGCTTTATATCCTACTTTCCCAGAATTTCTGATTTCACATAGAGTGAGCTGTGGGTAAAATGTAAATTTCCTGCTGTCCCTGGAAACCTTTTTTGTTTTGCCTTGGTTGCTGGGAGCACAAAGGGCTTGGTGAGCCTCAAGTAGAAGTGGAAAAGCTAGAACAGAGGTTTTCATGCTCTTAATAAACTAACCTATGCTTTTGTTCATGGAACTAAATTTATTAAAAAAACAGCACAATATGATACTATACTCCTGTCTAGCAATGTTCCAAGAGAGAGCCAATAAATTGGAAAACCCTGGACTGGGAGCAGATAATTATTTTTGGAAGCCCTTCCCTTTGCGGTACTTTGTGCACATAAGTAAAAGCACTTTCCATGTTTGTCCTCTAAAAATGAAGACAATAATTTTGTTCAAGGCTCTTGGTTCAGAGTAGGCTGGGGAGAGATGGAGAGAATTAGGGAGAATATCTGCATTCATTTTTTTCCCTTCCTTTGGTGGTGGAACTTACATAATAGAATGCAAATGTTTTAGTGCTTATCTGGAGCTCAACTTCTACTGCTGGAATTACATAGCTATGGAATTAAGCTCTTTTCTTATATCTCCAGCCTGCCAGTGGTCTCCTTGGCACAGAGTGGTGACTGAGCTGGGCTCTTCAAGAACTTTAAGGAAATTGCCTGTTTCATTCATGGAGAAGTAAATAATAATCCTCCATACTCCATTAAGAAGGACAGGGGAGAGCTGTAGATGCCTCCCTGGAAGTGAGACCCTAAGTGAGTCCCTGGGCAGTAAGACCCTGGTAGTGAGTCCACCTAAGCTCAGAGTGAAGTGGTCCTTTCTTTTGTGTGTGGTCTCTGATGCCAGAGAAGCAGAGGTTTATTGATGAAGAGGACTCATCCTCTTTTCCCTGATGGTTTGGTGGCTCTGGTTCTTCCTGCCTATAGTTCCTGCTACCACTAACATGTACTTTTGTCATCTATAACCATAGGACCTCCTAGCTCTGGGGCTACTAATTTTCACTTAATATTTTTTCACAGATTAGGAGGAAAAGGGAATAAGGCAGTAAGAATGGAACTCTGTAGCCAGAGCTAACTAAAGAAGCAATGGGTTTATGGTGGTGGGGGAACCCGGGTACCCCATTAGGACACATATGAGAAGATAGATGTTGTTATGGTTTGGAACTAAAGTGTCCCCCAGAACTCTCATGTGGTCAGAGGTGGTGCTTTTGAAAGGTGGTTAGATCATGGGGGCACTGTATTCACCAGTGGATTTATTTATTGGAGAGTCCAGGAGTTGAATGTGCTGTTGGGAAGTGGGTCTGACTAGAGGAGGTGGGTCACTGGAGGTGTGACCTCAAAGGGTATATCTTCTTCCCTTGTTTCTCCCTTCTCTCTCTGCTTATTGACCACCATGCTCTGAACAGGTTTCTTCTGCCCAGGCTCTTTCAATCTGATGTTTCTGCCTATGAGTTAACCAACCATGGACTGCAATGTGAACCAAAATAAATATCTCTTCCCTTAAGCTGAGGATGTCATGTATTTTGTCTTAATAGTGAGAAAGTTATCAAGACGGATTCTGGTACCAGAGAAGTGGGGTCGTTGCTGTGACTGTACCTGACCATGTGGTTTCAAACTGGTTCAAGGGAAGATTGGAAAGGTTTGGCCATTCTGATCAGAAAAGTCTTACAAAGCTATACACTGAGCTTGATGGAAGGTTCTCATCAGAACTCAGAAGATCAGAATGCTGAAAGAAATACCAATGGTAAAGGTCAAGCTCAGGAGGTCTTGGCTGGGAACAAGAACTCCATTGGTAGTTGGAGTTGAAATGTTATGCTCAGGCAGAACGTTCTTCTACACGTTCCCCACATTCTGAGACTTTGTGGGAGACTGTGGCATCAGACTAATTCTGGCAGAAGAAATTTCAAGGCAGCCTGATGTATGAGCTGTAGCATGGGCGCTGCTAAGCTTTAAGTGAAAAGCTGGAGTAAATTTAAATATTTAAAAAGATTTAATTTAAAAAATTTTAATATTTAAAATTTTTGAATATTTAAAAAAATTGCTGGTGGACAGAAAGGAAGAGTATGTACAGTTGGTTTCTGTGAAGTTGGGTCTTGTAAAGTTGAAGTAGAGGAGAGCTTGGTTGCTGAAAACATTAACATTACAAAAAAGCCAAGTACTTTACATCAGGACAATAGGAAAAATGCTTTGACAACATCACAGGAATTAACCTGACCCTGTACAGGCTGAAAAGAACAAAAGTGAAGGACTTTGCTTTGAGAAGAGAGCCCCAAAGCTGGCTAAGGAATGGGTTCCCTGGGGTTTGGGTCACAGTGCCTCAGTCATCGAGGCACTTGGAGGTCTCTGCGTCCATCATACAAAGGTGCCCAGCTACTGCTCAAGTTATGAGTGGTCCTTGGTGCCATCCATGTGCAACCGATTTTATGGGCATATGGAATGCAAGAGCTACTGGGTTAGGGAGGAATCTACACAGACTTTAGAAAAACCCCTAGATGCTGGCAGTGTGCTTCTGGGAGGGTGGTGAATGAAGCTGTGACAGGAAGCTGAAAGTGCAGTAGAAACCCCAGGAAATTAAAGATGTCAGGGCCATAGATTATGTGCAGAGGAAAAATGCAGGTAGTGAGCAAAACCATTTCAAGAGAGAAGCTATGAGATGAGGACTGTAACTGTCAATAATATAGGGACAAGGAGGCCCTAGCCCTTTTGATTTCAAGGAGACTTTGTACTTGGACTTCAAAGCAATTCTGGATCTGTTTAAATCTTTGGTGAGTCTTAGATAGATTAAGTACATTTATGTAAAGAGATGTGCTTGAATCTTTTGGGGGCTGAGGTGGAATGCTGTGGTTTCCATCTAGAATGTTTTCCAGAACTCTCATGTACTCTGAAGCAGGGCTTTCAGAGGGTGACTGGATCTTGGGGGCATTATGCTCATGAATGGATTCATTTGTTGGTAAGATCAGTGGGTGAGTGTGCTGTTGGGTCTTTGTTGGTGGATTTTGTGCCACACAGTGAATATTGGTGGTGCAGGTATAGGGACAGGAATAGGGCCAATGACTGGGGTAGACACAATTTATTTGTCATATTCAGCATGCCTATAGATGCTGTAGTTAAGTGGCTGTTTTAAAATCACCATCATCCTACCACTGTGTTAAAGCCTAGTTTAGAATGCAAGTGCTGTTATACACAATGTGTGTATGACAAGTTAAAAGGCTCTTCACGTTGAGCTGCATAATGAATACTTAGCATGAGTGAATGAAAAGATTACTGAATAGAAATAAGAGCTATCCTTTTGGGAGGGCATTCATTGTGAAGTAGGCTGAGAGCTAACACACATACACGACTGCACAGTGACTGTGGAAACTTGGGAAGTTGGCAAGAGAGAGTGGTAGAAATACTGCCAATCTGCCCTTGGATGATGGAACACCCTCAGCAGCCATCAAACTGGGATAACATTGCATCACAGTACATGACCAAGCACATGACACTGACCTCAACTGACAGCAGAGTCCAGGCTGTGGTGAGAACCCAGGGATGGAAGATAACAAGAGACACAGAGGGATTGGCACATACCAGAAAGATGGACTAAGGGAGCCCAAGGAAAGAGGAGTTTTGGAAGGCTCAACCAACAATGATCTCTCTCTGTCAAAATTCCTTAGTTTAAAAAGTGTCAGCTTAAGCCCCCTTTGGTGAGCCAGAGGTGGAGCTGAGAATCACAGCTGAAGTGTGTTAGCACAATGTCGGCTTTATTCACAAGTTGGCGGTGTTTTCACTGACTTACAATGTGGCTGGGGACTCAGCTGGATAGCATACCAGAGGCCCAGCAGAAATTCCTCATGACACATCTGCCTAGGGGACTCCTTATTAACAAATATAGCAACACAAACTATTTCAATATCCAGGGAAATATGATGGGAAGGGATACTAATAGAAAAATAAAGGTAGAGTTTAAAATGCTGTGGCAGCTAAAAAATATTTTTGTAGAAGATGTGCAATGCAAACAACTTTCTTCTTGTTTTGACAAATACTAAGTTTCAAGGATGTGGAGGCTAAGGACAAACTAATTTTTGAATAACTGAGATGGGAAAAGCTAGTCTCTATATAAACACACAATGGAGCTGGGCAAGAGGATCACATCCACAGGGCAGCTGAGGCCTCCCCATATGGGTGCGAGGGACCCCAGTTTTCTCACACAGGTCAGATGGTCCAGTAGCACCTGAGCATGGAGTCTCCTCTTCTTCTAAGGGAGTATAAGCCTAGCTGATTTTGACTAGGGGAGGAGGACCCAAGGGGAGACTCAGAAAAGGACAAGAGCAACATTCAGAGCAAGGGTCAGATGTTCAGTTGCCTGCACTGTTATTAGAACTGTGCTCCTGAAACATCTTTCTGTGATCAGGGAGTCCTCCTCCTTGGCCCAGAATCCAAATGCAGGAGTAAGCATTGTATGGTTGACTTGCTACCCTGCTCAGGTGGAGGATTTTTAGGGGAGCACCTTGTTGCCCTCCTTTTGGCTTTTCCTTTTAAAATAGGGAGTAGATATGAGTGAGGACTGTTGCAAAGAGTGAGTCATCCGTGGTTGTAACCTACTGGCATCGCCAGATGGGGTGCAGGAATGTAAGCAGTTTATAGAAGTGTTATGGCAGCTTTTACAGCCACGAGGGATGATATTGGCTTATTTTAGCATTTTTAAACTCAAGTATTCACTTCATGCCAATGTATGTAGCTGTGTTCTCTCATTTGAGGTAGTTCATTTGGAAATACAGAAGGATGAGGCATTATTTCTTTAAATAAAATATTCCCTTTCATTACATCTGGGTCTCGGTGATCCCTAAAGCAGAAACTCAGTTCAAACATTAATCTTAATAATCATATATTAAATATTTACTACTCAATGCACAGTGGAAACTCAAGATGAAATAGACTGAGGAGACCTGCCCTCAAGGGGTTCATAAATTAGGGGGAGGATGAAGGAAGTCACAAACAATTACAGTCAAAGAGAAAACACATGAAATAACTCAAGAGGCAGGTGCTAAGGTGGCTACACTGAGGGGACAATCTATCCTCAGAGGAGAGGTTTACATTGGATATTATAAATTTGTTAGTCACAAGCATTATCTGGGTTACTTTCTTTATTGCTTAGACAAAAATACTAAAATAAGTTCAAGATATAGTTCAAGGAGGAAAGGTATTGTAGTCAGGGTTTTTAAAGGAAAAGTTAAATATAGGACACACAATTTATAGGATTATTTTATAATATTCACCTAAAGAGTCAAATTCAAGAGTGTGGGAGACTTGTCCATACACCAGAGACCCAAAGAATCCAGCTGAGAGCCTGGATCCCATGGTAGTATTTTACCTGAGTTTGGCTAAAGAGCTACGGCCTCTGGAATGTCCTGCATGAGTCCAGCTGGAGGCCTAGAACTCATATCTCATGCAAGTCTGTATCACTGGGAAGGCCCAAAGGTCAGTGGCAGAAGCCAGAGAGTCTGCACCAGTGGGGTGAGGATCTGTGCCAGCCGGATGAGGGATCTTCACTGGAGCTAGGAAGTGATGCTCATGATAAGGACCAGAGCTCCTCTGAAAAGAACCATAGCCATCCTCAGTCACTGAGGGCCTGAGCTCCTTCAATGATGAGAACA